CAACCAGAAGGGTTCATTGCAAAGGGACAAGAGCATCTGGTTTGTAAACTGAAGAGGTCTATTTATGGACTGAAGCAAGCTTCGAGGTTTTGGAACATCCGTTTTGACGAGGTTGTCTAATCGTTTGGATTTACCCAATGTCCGGATGAGTACTATGTGTACAAGAAAAGTAAAGAAAACGTGGTGGTGTTTCTTGTGTTGTACGTAGATGACATTCTTTTCATTGGAAATAGTGTGAAGAAATTATCAGACATAAAGGTATGGTTATCCAAGCAGTTTGAGATGAAGGATTTGAGAGAACAGGCATGTTCTCGAATCAAGGTCTTTCGGGACCGAAAGAAGAGAAAGTTGTGCCTATCCCAATCCAAATATATAGGAACTGTCCTGGCCCGTTTCAACATGCAAGATTCGAAGAAAGAGCAATTGCCTTTTCGACATGGAATCCCTGTATCTAGGAAGATGTCTCCCAAGATGCCTCAAGAGATAGAGGACATGAAGACAATTCTTATGCATCGACAGTAGAGTATAGGGTGTTGTGCAGGAGGCCTGATATCTATTATGCCGTGGGCATGGTAGTCAGATATCAAAGTAATCCAGGTCCAGAACATTGGTTTGCGGTGAAACATATACTCAAGTACCTGAGAAGGACTAAAGAGTATATGTTGGTTTACCAGGCAGATGAGTTGCTTCCGTTGGGCAACTGGGACGAAAGCAAGTCAACCTTAGGGTTTATGTTTACTTTAGGAGGAGGAGCCATTTTTTAGAGGAGTGTCAAGCATAAAATGCGTGGAAGACTCCACCATGGAAGCTGAATATGTAGTAGCCTCCGAGGCAGCGAAAGAAGCTGTATGGCTCAGGAATTTTCTCTTCGACCTTGATGTGGTGTCGAGTTTGCCCGCTGCAATTACAGTTTTCTGTGATAATCGTGGAGTAGTAACGAATTCGAAGGAGCCACAGACTCATAAAGTGAGTAAACAAATAGAGCGCAAGTACCACCTGATACGAGAAATCGTTGGACAAGGGGAAGTCGTTGTTGCCAAGATACTGTCAGAGGACAACCTAGCAGATCCTTTTATGAAGAGCCTACCGGCGAAGGTCTTTGAGAGACACATAGAAGGAATGGGAGTCAGACGTTAGGTGACATAATAGACTAGTCTTTGAGAATTAGATCGAAACAAAATTGTGGTTAGTGATAGCCATAAGCTTACTAAGCATAAGTGGGAGATTGTTAGATATGTTGTAAAAACTTTGTTATCAGATATAAACAATTCCATTTTGATCTGACAATCATAACTCCATTATTTTACATTGTAAATAATGGTTCATCGTGTCTAACATTAAAATCATATTATCGGTTCCTTGTAAAATATAAATTTAATGTTCACAGTTTAGACAGGCAGTGAGACCCCTGTTGGATAAAGACAGTAGTGTACTCTTGATTCAGTTGATCTTTGACTGATAGATTACACTAGTACATATGGTAAGTATTGAACGTACCGCTGAAGGATAAGATTATAAGATTTACCGATTGTTGTTATAATCTAGACCTTCAGTGATTGATGCGTTCTTTTACGCTGTAAGATAATATAAAATGGGCATATATATTCATTACCTATTTATTTGATTTAGTAAGGGTGATTCCTATTCTGTTAGGATGACATACTCGCTATTTTTGTAAGTAAAAGTGTTTATAAGATGTGCCGTTATAAATTATATGCAGTCACTATGTTCCAGTGTGCTGGGTTGATGACGTCCCCGAAATGAGCTCAAGAAGGAATATTTTGTCAAACCTTGTAGGTGGATAATTATCCGACATAATGATTAATGAACTGAGTGGTACTAATTTCGGAAATGAAAGAAGTGAATTTAATTTAATTGTCATTAATTAAATTAATTGATGGACGTTATATCTTAAACATATGGAGGTAAATCGGTCAATTAGATTGATATCAATTAATCATTTGGAGGTTTGATTTATTGAATAAACTGGAGCTAAATGGGGAGAACAATAATATTACTCTAGTGGGATGTTTTATTAATTCTAATTAGGAATTTAGAAATTAATTATAATCCACATGTTAGATTCCATTAGGAGAGGAATATTTCTTCTAGAATATTACCTAGGGGTAGGAGACTATGGAGTTTTCTAGAAGGTAATAAAGGTTAGTAGGAATAAGACTTCTACATGGGAAAGTATATGAAACATGATTAGGATTCCTAAGCCTAATGGGATAAGCCCATATTTAGCACCTCCTTAAGGTCCCTGATGTAGCCTATAAATACACCATGTCCCAACCTCTTCCCCTACTATTGCTAGAGCTCGATTTTAAGGTTATAATAAGAAGAGGAAAATCGAGATCTATATATATTCGGGAGTTTGGGAGTTTCGATTGATCACACCACCAAGATTAGTCGAAGTAGGTGTTAAGGTAATACATTAGAAGATCTTAAGGTTAGATAGATCAAACCTTGAAGATCTAATTTTTCCGTCCATTCTCCACCGTCGACTGCCGCCATCCGTCACCACCGCCGCGAGCCACCGAAACCCGGCCAACGCCCAGCCACACGTAGCCAGGCTCTCGCACGCTAGTCCCAGCAACCCCCCGCGAGCTCCTGTACGCCGTCATTCCTGCCTGTGAACACCACCGCCAGTAAAAGTCGCGCCCGCTCCCAGCAAGAGAAGCAACGCACGCCCAGTCCGCACACGCCTAAAAAACGTGCCGCGCACGACCGCGTGTTCCTAGACGGCAGTGCCCGTCCGTGTTGGCATAGGACTCCTGCACCACATGCGCCCGAGTAGCCCGCGCAAGTCAGCGTCTGTTCGCATGACCGCGTCACGACCCGACGCGCACCTGCCAGCGATCGCAACCCGCACCATCTGCCAACGACCGAGACCCGCAGCGTCTATCCGCACACCTAACCCGACCGAGACGTGACCAGCTGACCCGAGCTGACCCTGAGTCAGCCAGCCGAGTTAAGACTGAGTCGACCCAGGTTCGACCGAGTCAACTTATTGAACCGAACTGGATTCAACTGGCCCGAGCCCGACGAGCCCGAATCGGTGATCCTTTCGTGATTCAGTGACTCGATCAGAATCTAGAAAGGCCAAACCCATCATCCCATCGGGTTTTGGTAATCAGACGATCTCCATCGAAGGATATCAGAAACGTATCTGAGTCGGCAAAATTTTTAAACGGTAATGTCCTAACCCTAACTATAGATTCCGCTGCATTAGGGTTTAATTTGCTTAATTCAAACGTGCATGTTGTTGTCGTTCCTAATAGAACCAAACAGTGCATTGGTATGTGTTTGGTTATTACTAAGCTCAGTAGCCATGTCCTTGAGTGCAAAATTTTAGACGGTGCCAGAGCTGGCGATAAGGTTCTTATTCCAAGACTTACAACCAAGGTTCTGAAAACCAAATTAGTCATTGAACCCGTCAAGCTACTGGTTCAATGTTGTCTGACCAGTGGTTGAACCGGTTGGACCCTTATTTAATTTATTAATATTTTTAAATATATAATAAATTTTTATAATAGAAATTACATACAAAAGCTCATTAATTAAATATTTAGACAATTTGACATTTTTAAATACTTAAACTAACTTATTTATACCCATTATATATAAATATATATTTTTTATTTATAGTACAAAATATAAAATTTTTAATATAAAAACAATACATACACTTATATGTATTTAATTATTTACCATGGATGTATATGTGGGTGAAACATCTATTGGCACCAAACAGTAATGCTAAGGAGCTAATCGTTGGCTCCTTAGCATTACTGTGGCACCAAATACCATTCATTCAGTTACTTTAAAAATGCATTAAATGGTAAACTATTGCTTTGTCCACATCAGTTATATCAACACAGGTGGCACCTAATTGGCTAATTCATAACATTTGCTTTGTCCACAGGTTATAAATGAGTTGCGTTATAAATGCATCAAAATTTCTTTTCCTTTGCAAAAGACACGGACTGGTCCAATCGGCTGGTTATCAACCAGTTTTTATCGGTTTTAAGGTTCAATTGGCCGATGACTGGGTTTTGATCGGTTTTTTTGGAACCGATTTATTCAAGCAAACCCAACCGGACAATAGACCGGTTCCCGGTTCAACCGGTCGGATCGGCCAGTCCAGTCTGATTTTCAAAACCAAGCTTACAACCATTCATTTGGATTTGAGGGTACCATTTAAGTTTCAGCGCAAACATTTTCCTATCATGATCTCCTATGGTATAACGACTAACAAGAGTCAAGGCCAGTCTCTTTCACACGTCGGCTTAGTCCTGAAGAATCCTGTTTTCAATCATTCCTATCATGATCTTCTATGCTATAACGATTAACAAGAGTCAAGGCCGGTCTCTTTCACACGTCGGCTTAGTCCTGAAGAACCCTGTTTTCAGTCATGGACAGTTATACGTGGGTCTTTCTAGAGTCACGAATGGGAAGGATTTTGAAGATGTGTGGTGATTCCGACAATAGAAAAACCATGAATGTTGTATATAAAGAACTGTATAATAATATTTAGAATCATTTTCTTAATTCATATTTTTTTCATGAATTAAATTATGATTTTGTATTTTTGTTTTTTGTTTCTATATTGTTATCTCTTCTAAGTATTCTCCTCCGTGCAAATGCACGGGTTGATTACTAGTGTCAATATAAGTTTTGACAATAAACAGTAATTTTTAATTGTTAGGAGGGTCGGTCTGTCATATTTTATTATTTGAAATATATATTAATATTATATAATGTTATATTTTTATTGATATCATTAAATAAAGTTAACCAAAGCCAGTCCTGAACATTTTGGGGGCCTGGGCAAAATACAAAAAATCATGCCCCAAGTATTTTGTTTACTCTAAAATAAAATGATACTTTACGAAAAAAAAAAGAGTAGCAATGGAATTACTCAAAAAGGCTTCTTCGGGCATTTTTAGAGACAAAATCATCAATTATGGTACGCCAAAACCTCCAACTAGCTGAAAATGGCTAGCTCAAACTCCTCCTCGCTGGTTGAACGCCACGTACCTGCAAAGAACTCTCACACCGGAGGTGATTTCAGGTAAAGAGCCTCCGATGCTTAAGTCAGTCTCAAGCTTTACTCAATTCTCAAGAGTATAATGGATAAATCGTGCTCAAAATGTAAAGCTAACCCCTAGAGGTGAGGTACCTGGTTCTAGAGGCTGCCTAAATGAGCTGAGCTGGGTGGCCAAAACTATCCGGCCTGGCCGTTCGTCCACACACAATGTGCTTGTGTTAGAGATGGTTATTCAGTGGGGACCAATCAAGTCGCACCACGTGTCCCCCGCACATTGGGTAAAGATTCCTCTGAAGTCTCCTCAAAGGCTCTTGTGCTCAACCTTGCCTAGGTCGATCCTCGGGCTGTTCTCAATCTATGATATGGTCGATCCAATGACCATTGCTTGACTAGTCGATCTTAAACCAGATCCTCCATGGACCTAGGACTGAAATGTCCTTCAAGTACCAGAACCCCTATGAGTTGCCTTATAATTCAAAGGCTCTTGTTCTTATGGTGTTCAACCACAACCACCCTGCACGATTCTGTTCCATCGAGGTAGCCTGCTCGGTTTGCTTGACTCGCTAAACCGGTTAAGTGGGACGGTTTACTCCTTTAGGTATACTATCCCATATCAAATTATATCTTTCTAATCTAGATTTTAAGTAATATCATTCTTCGATGCATATAGTAGCTAACGTATAAAGCACCATTCATTCATAAGAACGGCAATACCTATAGACTTCTCCAAATCCAAATATTGAAATAACTCAATAAATTTATAAGCACCAACTTTCAAATTTAAAATTTGCAGCTATACAAAATTCAAGTTTTCAGCTATACTAAATTCATGAGCCCTAATTTATAATATATAAAATTTAATTTACTTGCACTTAGAATTTGGAGATTTTTATTCTTCCTATGTGCATTGTGTGCAGAAAAAGGTCCAGAGCCGAACAAAAAAATCTCAATTAATTATCTTTTTAAATGCATGCATGTCTCTTATTCAATTCCTCTAAAGATATGATTATGAATTTGTGATAATATTATTTAACATTGTGGCAGGTCATGTCCCCTGTGGTGAAAATTGCAGGATATCAGAGAATCCTTCTGAATAATGAACAAACACTAATGAAAGTCGTGGCATAGCAGCCGATAAAGATTTCATGTATTACAGTACGGTAAAACATCCAACTACAACTTTACCACTTAAACTAAATTTGAAATTCAACGCGCTTTCAAGCTATATAAGTTTCATGTTTCTACGTACAAGGAAGTTATATCGGGAATTGCAGCACAAAATTGAATCATGCTGTAACGGTGGATGGGTACGGGACGACCAAGCATGGAATAAAATTTTGGATCCTTAAAAATTCTTAGGGAGGCTCGTGGGGCGAAAGTGGTTACATCCGGTTGGCACGGGATGTTGAATACAAGTGGGGCATGTGTGACATTGCTATGGAAGCCAGTTATTTGGTGGTAAACGAGCTTTCTGCAGTATCTCACGATCACGGTCACGAGATGTGACACGAAGAATTTTCAATCAGTTGGATATGTTATGTGTTCTGCTCACAACTACAATTTGATCCTTATGCTTGCGTTTATCTATGTATGCTGACTTGTTCCAAGCTTTCTGCAATATCTACGGTTTGCTCTTAAGTGTTTGTGTCGTATATATAAATTTACATACTTTTATCAAGTCGTTTGCATAACTAGTGAAGCTCGGTTCAATAAAATCTTGAGCCATAGTGGGAGCCCAAGAATCAGAAGTTCAAACTCGACTCGGGTCGCATCTCTTTTGGGGCCATTTCAGTAATTGCATTTTCTGTCATGTGTTAGCATTTAAAGTCCACCAATAACTTCATATAAGATAAGAGAGATATGTGATTTCTCTTGTGTGCGTTATGAGTTTTTAGTCACCTCATTTTTTAACCACAATTTCATCTTCACTATTTTAGGTTGAGATGGTTTTATAGTGTTTTACTCGAGCAAGTTACACTCTCAAATTGAGGGGGGTGGGGGTGTCTTTTCAAATGTTACCAAGTCTCTATTCAGACAATACTTTCTCCACAAAAAGGGTGAAGATGAGGTGAAGTCTAAAGTGTTGGTACCGGCAAGAAAGAGTTGTATATGCACATTTGTCGTCATCGAGCCTTGAGCTCGTCCCTGTTTGTTATTTTTTAATCTTTATCTCTACTTTTATTTAACATTTTACTTAGGGGGACTCTATAGTTTAGGGGGAGTTACTAGATTTATTGTTATTATTTTTTTAGTATAATGTTTTGTTCATAACACTACAACAAAATGGTTCAAATTCCAACGAAAAGTTCCAATACAAATATATTTTAATGGAATTCCAACGGAAATTCCAACAAAAATATTCTGTTGGAATGAGTTTTTCATTAGAATTTTGGTTGGATTTTGAAGATTCCAACGGTAGATTTTCCAACGGAGGTGGAAATATAAATTTCAACGAAAATTGCATATTCCAACAGAAATTGCTACGGTAAAAAACCGTTGGACAAATAGCCGTTGGAATCATAAAATTTCATCTGAAATTCCAATGAAAATTCATTCCAAAGAAATATTTTCGTTGGAATTTCTGTTGGAATCATTCTAATGGAAGCTATACCATTGGAATATCCGTTGGAATTTTCGTTGGAATATATTATCGTAGGATTTTCCATTGGAATATAACATTTTTTTGTAGTGTAAAAACAAAATGAAGGAGATTGTTAAATACGGTTTTATGAATTGTATTTAATATATTTAATTTTATTTACATTTCTAAAATATTGTAAAATATCTAGAAAATAGTATTTGTATATGGTATGATTTGATTTGATTTGATTTTTATTTTATATAGTCTTATTTTGAACAGGTATTTGAACTAGAAAGAAATATTAATATTACAAGAAAATACTTGATAAGAGAGACGCGTGAAATAACGAGAGTAGCAGTGCACGAGAATTTTTTTAAAGCAGATTTTCTTGAGTAGAAAAGTAGTGAACGGTCCACACAAATTTTCTACGAGAGCGGCACGCAAGACGCACGCAAAGCGCACGGACTAAAGATATGTAATTGTTCAAGCACGTAAAGCGCACGGACTAAACATAAATAATTATTCAGAAAATTACTCATCCGAAAATCATTCGGACTCGCTATTCATTCTACTAATCATTCGATTTTCTCCCGACTCTTACACTTTATTATTGTTCGGTTATTTTATTATAAACTATAAATTATGTTTAGATATATCTAAATGCTTGAGTCTTGGTTTAGTATTTCATTGTCTCACTATTTACGTTTGTGATTTTAATTGTAAAAAATATATCAATTTTTTTCTCGTAAAATATCTTTGCTATGTTGCCTTAATCTACAAGTGCTTTGAGTATTTTTATTTAAATCTAGCAATGGTCTAATTTAAATATATTTGGGCTTGTAGAGCTCATCTTTCTACGAAAAATTACCTAGATAAAAATAGGGAAATTTTTATTTATGCTATGTGATTTTTAATTAATTGCAACTTTACTATACAAGTTGAAATAATTATATCTCTACATAAAAAACTTTATTTATCTATATTAATGCCTAAAGACAGTTACCATATCCTTCCCACCTCCATTCCCCTTTTTATGCGTTGAAAATAAATAACTGCTCATTTAATTCCTTAATTCGCGCAACTTGAATTCCTTAATTCACGTAGCTATCAGGTGGTATGTATTGCGTTTATGTTAGTATATATTCAGTATATGTTGCAATGAAAAATATGTATTCCATTAAAAAATTATGTGTTCCTATTTTTTTTTTTTTTAACTTTTATACATAAAAGTATATATATAGTTTATGAACATATTATAACATATTACTAAATATAAACCATACATATACACAACAACAACAACAACAACAAAAATCACTTTATGCTGAATATAAACTGATTTTATACATAAAAATTATGTCTCGCGATAAATTTCTTTATCATATACCGAAAATATACTAAATATAAGCCATACATATATACAAAAATAAACTCGTCGATAAATTTCTTTATCATATACCGAAAATATACTTAATATAAACCATACATATACACAAAAAAAAAATAAATTCAGTTTATGGTTTGTCAAATTCGTTTTCAACAAAAAAATCTTCTAATATACCAAACATAAACTATAAATAAAACATTGTTCAGAAAAAGCAAACATCATTCATAAAACTAAGCAAAACTAAAACTACAAATCTGAAGTGTTAGAAAAAAAACATGGTATGATTCTTGATTATTCACACCACAATTAGTATCTTTGCAAGACTAAGTAAAATACAAACTAAAACTTCATTGGTCAAACGATACATTTGCAAGACTTAGTAAAACAAATGAACTTTATTCCAAAATTCTGAAATATGGTTACTGTAATATCCCGTTCTTTTGTTAATAAACGTAACATTCTTAGTTCCGAGTTAGAATGATTTTTATTTTATTAATATCTCTCGTTTTTATTTCCCGAGCCAAGTTATAAAGTCATTTAGTTATAAGTTCGACTTTAAGTCGGAACTTATAACTGAGTTAATTTCAGTAATTAATTTTGAACTGTTTATTTTTATAAACGGATATTAATAGCCGGGATTAATATTTTAAGTCGATGAAATAATCGTCGAAGTTCAGTCTCGATCGGAATCGAGTATGTTCGGTCATGTGCACTCGCGCTTATCAACTCGCACCTAGCCCTAGTACCGTGCACGAGCATTTTCCAAGCCCTAATAGTTCTGAGCCTTACTTAAGTTTATCCTAGCCTTATAGCACCTTCCTAAATATTTTTCTACGTGTTATTCATTAAGTTAAGATCATAGATCAAGTCATATAAGCCTTAGGATTTCATTTGCTTGGCCCAAGGTTTTTCTCCCGCCCAGCCCGTGTGCACAGGACAGCCCGCGCAGCCTAGCGCCCAGTCCAGGCCAGTCCGTGCACCCAGGGGAGCCCAGTACCCGCGTCCAGGGCCCAGTGCGGCCCAGTGCCTGGGCAGCAGGCCCAGCTCGCCCCAGCTCGCGCCAGCCCAACTTTTACCCGTACCAAAGTGCTTCATTCGGCCCAAATGAGTACAAATCATGGTCAAAGTGCCAAAAGTACCAAGAAGTCTTGGAAAAATTGAGGGAAGTACACCTAAGGCAATGACTAAGTCAAAATATGGCCATATGTTTTCACCACAATTTTCCTAAGGCATTATTCACCTTCCACCTCCTTAGCCACGACCATATGACTTCAAAATCAGATGGAAATTAAGTCATTCACCTTAAGAACGCAGCAAACACTTAGAGGTTAGGAGAAAAACTAAAAAATAGCAACCGAGTTCGTGAACGTACGAAATTGGCACGAAAAAAAGCCCTAGCGCACTTTTTTGAGTTCCTTGAAGGTTAGCTCGTGACATCAAATTTTTATAGCTTTATTATTATATTTTAAGAATAATCATGCATAGAAACTCGATTAAACTTAGGTTTAAATAGGAGTTTTGAATTTTTGAATAATTAAGGCTTAAATATGAATTTTTAGTTCCAAGTGTGGTTTAGCCGAAATGGATAGCTGAATAATCCTTATAAATCATACCTTTGATGCTGCTAAAAGATTAAATTAATTGGAGTTTATGTACTCGGTCATCCATGAGTCGAATTTTAGCTTATTTGCACGTCCGAGTCACTGTGAGTCTTACCCAAGTAAAAGTCAGTATTTTAGCTTTAAAGGGCATGATTTATATAGCTAATGATTCGGCCCTGAGTATGTTTTGAAGTTGATGATGTTTGTTCGGTGGTTTTGGTGTCATATATGCCAAATAGGCCCTACAGGACCACGTCAAAATCTAACCGAGGTCTATCAGGGTTTCTTTGCATTTTTGAGCTTATTTCATTGAAAAATGTTAGTTTGAGTCATGTGTCCCGAGAAAAGTCACCGGACGGCCGGTAAGGTCCGGCCGTGGTTGCTGGTAGCGAACACAGCGCGCGCAGCGCCCAGGCCCAGGTCAGTCAGCGTCCGCGCGCACAGTTCCAGCGCCAGTAGCGTCCAGCGCGCGCAGGCAGCGCCAGGGTAAGCCCTGTACGTGTCTGCCCGCGTCTGTTCGTGCCTGTAGGGCCAATATCCGCGCCAGGCTGCACTGAACCGTGCCAGCAGTGCCTGGCCGCGCCCAGACTCACACTAGCGCGAGTCCAGCACTGTGCCAGGGCACCAACTGGCCCGACACGGGACCGAGGCGTGTCAGCTCGGGTCCGTAGTGTCCGCCTGGTTTCCGGTGAACCGGTGGGCCAGTGTAGGACTGGTTCTGTCAGTCCGGTCCAGTCAGTAAGCGAACCAGCCGGTTCGGCCGGCAGTTTGAGTTATTTTTGACATGTATGAGCAGTTCGAGATATTTTCCAGATTTTTAATTTTTTTTTAGCCAAATTTAGTCAGATTGAGTTATAACAATAAGTTTCGGACTTAGTAAAATATGAACCTTTAGAGCGTTCTAATTAATCCGGATAAGTTAAAAATTAAAAACAGA